TCAGTTCGAGTCCCAGATATGGTGGCTTGCTTTCTCACTTTCCTTCTCTGTTTCCAGCTATAGAAAAGAAAAAAGATTCTCCCTATGTCTGCAAAGCTATTGATCATTTACCACTAGGTCGGGTCAGGAGCTTCTCTGGGCCTGTTTTCATCCACAAAATTACGACTTTGCAACAATATTCTGAGGTGCTGAAGACCTTTAGGGAGATTACCTGCTCTCTGGCTAGGACTCAAAGCTGCCACAAGGGCCAGATTCTCGCTTTCCTTTATTTAATCTTTTCCAAGTCATGGTCCACAGCACCCCCTGGTGGTCACTAAGTGGCAGGCAGTACCAGGAGCGGCTTCTGCCGATGGTCCCTGCAGCCCCCTACCCAAGACTCAACCATAGGACCATAGTGGAGCTAAAAGTGTTATCCAGAAACTTGTCATCTTACTGTGGAAAACGGAGGCCTGGATGGGGAAGGATTTGCACAAGATCTCACCAAGTGTTCTGTAGAGGTGGGCCAACAGTGATCTTCCCAGCATATGGTATTAGACAAACCTAACACCCAACAGCATCAAAATGTTTTGGCAAGCTGGGTGATCATCGGGAATGAGTTAAGCTTATTTCACACCGTCAAGGGCTTCCTGCACTCCTCCACGTCTGGGTGTAGACTCTCTGACCTCTTTGAGCTTACTTCCTGTTGTTCTTCTAACAGAGGAATTCCTTCCTACCTCAGGGCCTTTGCACGAGCCGTTCCGTCTGCATTCAACTTCCTTTGCACGTATCTCCTCTGGGTTCACATCCCTCATGTCTTCCGGCTCTCACAGAGACATCCCCTGACCACTCAAGCTAATGATGCTCAGCCATCTCTAAACGTCCTTCTCTTATACTCTTCAGAGCCCTCTTGACAACTGAAATCTGCCCACTGTTTCAGGCCTGTCTTCTTTTCTAGAATGATGGCTGTTGGGAATTTGTTCAGTACTCAGTGACGGGTCTGCGCCCTGAGTAGGTGCTCCATGATCGCAGGGAGCGATGGAAAGGAGAACTGTGCGTGACAAAGAAGACGCTGGAGACCACTTTAGAGAAAGTCTGGAGGTTTACTCAACAATCACAATCACAATGGTACATGGTCAGTTCTTCACAGAGGCTCACTTCCCAGGCAGGAGGAGAGAGATTGGTGGTCTGGAGCTTTCTCTATGGAACCCCAGCCTGACTTTGCAAATTGTCCCTGCCTGTACCCCCTTGGGAGCCTGGTCTTCAAGCCAACAACAAACAGTGCAGGAGCCCAGCCCTGTCATCTGGCTCAGCTGAATCAAAGCCACTGTGGAAGTCATGACAATGACCTTGGCACCTGGTGTAGGTCCGCCTCCCAGTCATGGGCGACAGTGGATCTTGGCTCAAGGTCAAGTCTGAACGGAAATAGTACTTGGATTTTTCACAAACGGCATCAGCCGAAAGCAGACATGAGAATTCCAGCACGGAACGGCACTCCCTGCCCCTCTCCTATACTTACGAATCTTCAGAAAAACATTAAAAATGCATCGCCTCTTAGGAAGTATAAAAGATCGCCCAACGTGTACAAACTAGGGATTGCTGAAGCCAGGAATCGAGATTTCTCAGTCACCACGGTAAAGTGCTCTGCCATTCTTCAGACTCGAGACTAGAAAAACGGAGATGCACGGAAACACGGAGCCGGTTTCCAGGACGTCAACCTGTTTCTTACAGAGAAAAGGAAACTGAACCAGGAGAAGGTTTGAAAAAGGAGTGTGATGTGGACTTTGGAAATCCATATGCTACATTTTCGAGAAAACTTCTCTTTCCCCTTTGCATCTAATGTCACATCCCGTCAACTCTCCCCTGTGGTTGGCCCACCCTCTCTCTGAGCTCTTTCTTGCTAAAGGGGGGAATTGCAGTTCCCTAGACTGTTTTCCAAGTTGAAAGCTCCACTTGAAAGTTGGAGGCACAAGATGAAATGGCTTTTCACACATACGCCTGCAGACTTAGCCACCTCCAAAGGCCTTGTCCTGACGGCAAAGGTGTCCTCTGCATTCTGAAATGTTTCTGGAGCCCCCATTTGGAAAGGCTGCTGGTGGCCCACATGGTCACTGGACTCTCTAGGCATGCCTTCATTTGTAACCTCGTCTCAGAAGACCGCCTTCTAGAGAAGCAGGTGCTCACATTCGTACCTGGTACCTGGCTGATGGCGTCTCTACAGGTTCCTGGCTGAGTCTGAGCATCAGCTAGGGATGTGCACAGAAACCCGAATCCAAGACAGGTGGTTGGCAAAAATGAGGCCAAAACAGTGAGTGGCTGACTCCGTGCCATCAGACTGTCACTCGATGAGACTGAACCAGTGACATGTTCCCCTTTCTTTCTCAAGTATATAATTGCCAGGGCCCAGCACCTACTGAGGTGGGCTCAGTGACTGCAAAGGCCAGCCTGCTCAGAGGCCATGTCCACTCCTGTTGAGGGTGTGAATCCAGACCGGGGAGGAGAACCAGAGGATGGCCAAGGGAAGGCTGAGCTGGCTGGTGGCTGCTCCTACTTCCCCCGGGCTCCTGGTCTGGCTGAGAACTCTGCCACCCACCCAGAGTGGGACCACTTGGAGACCTGGTCTGTGGTCTGCACACTTTAATCCTAACAGGGAGAGTCAGGACAAGCATCTGATTGAGGATTGGGATGGCGACTGCAGGCAGGGCCCAAATGGCCCAATGAGGTAATGCAAGGCCTTCTCTCAGGGGCCGTGAGGCCCTTCCAGGCCCTGAGTGAAGCAGTTCCCAGCCGCCCTTCTAATCTGGAGTGTTACATACACTGACTGGCAAACTCTGGCCTCTGGTCCCTTGGGGGGGCACCTCAGAACCTGCTCTAGGCCCAGCATCTCTGGCTTGAAATGAGACATGAGGAAATGCACTCATTCAACAGGAACTGCACACGCCACCAAAAATGACCCTCCCCCCAACCCTGCCCCGTTCTGTGTTTGTCTAGCAAGGCACTAGAAAATGGTTCAAGTTTAGGGATTTGCTGTACAGTTGCATTTTTTTTTTCTTTGTAAAAGGCACAGTTTTTATTCCAATGATGCTGCATTGCTCTGTGATGATGAATCTTAATTTGACTCCCCAAAACTGCAATGCTCTTTTAATCCCAGATTCTAGAAGGGGTGTCGCCTTGGACTCCACTCTAGAGAGGGCTGCTTCTAAAGATATAGCACTCGTTTGGAAAAGGACACTGCGGGTCAGCAAGCTTTGCCAGCACAGGGCAGGGCGTTTACTGGGGCCGAAGTGGAAGCAACCCTTTGCCAGGTGCACGTTCAATCTGGGGGTTTGGTGGCCGGTGGTGGTGAACCTTCCCTCCACCCCCAGTAACGGATGGCCTTGAGATCGGCCAGCATCTCAAAGGCAGATTCGTGGCTCTGCTCCCAGATCTACGTCTCATTATTTAGCTGACAAATGACACGATCAAGAGACCCAACTCTACTGGGAATACTGGTTTTAAGTCTTTTCTGGGAGAGCTGGTGGAAGCCATGGATTGTGGAATGCGATTTCCGTTTCTGAATCAGTGGGTGGCAGCTGGTTCCAGGAATGCTCCCTAGTATCTCGGGAGCCCTCTGGGAGTCTGACGTGTCATTAACAAAGCAGACAGTAAACGTGACGGGCTGGCATGGCACTGGGTGAGTATCTGGTCGTGGCATTTGGGGTTTTCTCCACTGCAAACGAGACTGCAGCTGTGATGACGGTGGCAGGTTCCAGGGCTTCAGGTCCTCACTGAGGACTGTGCGGTACCGAAACTTCTGGTACAAGCAGATGGCCACAGGGCCCTCCCTCCACTCCCCACCCCAGCCCCGCCTTCCAATACCACCAACCTGGGAGTCACAGATTGTCTGTAGGCTGGGAGCTGCCTCGCCTGTGTTGTACCTGGCTGGACACTTTCATTGTAGCTTTCTAGAAACTCACATCAGAGGTGAGAATACCAGACTCCTATGCAGCGTTCTAGTTTGCGATCGAATTCTGGAGTTCTTACGAAAAACTCTAGAGTTCTGTGTGAGAACTAGAACCGAGATGAGGTCAGAGGCAAGGCATCTTGCCCACAGTCGAACCCGGGGGCCTCTGGACTCTGTGGGGGGAGTCCCTCACAGCACTTCTGTTCCTCTTCAGAGGCAGGTCACTGCCAGGAGGGAGAGGAACGTGAGAGCACGGGCAGGGAAATTCAGCCAGCATTTCCAGTCTGGAGGGGGCTCCTCCTCGGCCTTTTGCATGGGCCCAAGGGTCATCTCCGATACATCCCTGAAAAGCTGGTGGCTCGGCTGTCCTGCCTGGAGAGCATGGAAATGGGCATTTCAAATACCCAGAGTAGGAGGAGACATCCCACGTGGCCAGGGCTGCAAAGAAACATCTGGGGTCCCTCTGACCACCTAGGAGGGTCTAGCAGGCATTAGGTACTGGGTCTCGGGAGGGCCCTGGTATGGCCTGACTGAATAACCCGGGCTGTAAGAGAGGATGGAAGCGGGGTGGCAATGGCAATCACCCCCAAGACAGGCAGAAACTATAAGGCCGAGGAGGACTCTTCCCCTTCTGCGGCAGATGGGTGGCCTTGGTGCTTTTAAAAGCTGCCCCTAATAGACACATTTTGCCTCTCTCTTTAAAGTACTGTCACGTACGAGAGCCACATGAGTGCTGGGTGACGCTGCAGGTCTCACTTTTGGGTGGCCTCGGTCTGCCCTGTATGCTCCTCCTGCGTAATATTGAGGGGACACGTGGACGATGTTGAAAAGCCCTCCTGCTTTTCTGGGACGCCAGCAGGGATGCAGGGAGGCAGGCTCTGCTCTCCACCTCACTCCCACAACCCAGGAGCTCAGGGACCAGGCAGACTCTGGTTCCAGCTACAGGAGCCCCATCTGCCCTGAACTGCTGGGCCCAGCTCCTTTACACTGCAGTGGCCAGGGGGTACTGCCTCCCCGGGACAGGAAGGCTGTCATGAGCGTCGGAGGGGCTCCTCTGCACTTGCCCAGGGAACAGGACGGCTCAGTTGCTATTGAATTTCTCCAAGACTGTTGAGTTGGTGTGTTCAAACAGCCACTGCTGGGTGAGAGAGGAGGGGTCACAGGTGTTCATGAAGATCCTGTGGTCACTTTCACTGCAGTCCATGCAACTGCCACTGATGGGGTGGTACAGGGTCTTGTCCTACAAAACAGGGAGGCTATCAGCCAGGCAGCAGGGGACGTGGACAGCGAGGCGTGGCAGCCATAGCAGCGATGCGGTGGTGAGGGAGCGAGTGACCAGCAGCTCTAGGCCGGCTGCCCTTCCTCTCCAGCTCACAGCCTGACACGGCCAGGCTCCCTGCAGCCCGGGCTGCCTTGCGACCCAGTTCTGCCCACAGGGATATGGCAGAAGTGAAAGCTGCCCCCAGGCCCGGGCCCTGTACTAGCCCGTCTCTGGTCAAATTTCACTGGTCTTCATAGGGCATGCGTGCATTTGTTTGTTTGTTTCTTTATTTTTGAGAGTTTTTTGCTATAGGGCGCGTGCGCTCTCCAGAAAGAAAGAGAGAGACAGAAAGACAGAAAGCAAGAAATCACCCCCCAGGGGGGATGGCCACGCAGTAATCCCTTCTCCTCCATCCTCCTCTCAGGACCTTGGGCACACACGCACACGTGCCTGATGTGAATTTAAGCTACGGGTCCAGGACTCGAACCACTTTCGCCTATGTGGGAGTCCAGTGACATAGCCATTGCACCAACTGCTGATCCCAACGTATTTCTTTTAAAGTAAACTTAGTTGCCGACCTTTAAGATCTGGAGATTTCACATAAAAAGCTGGATTTCTAGCTTCTCTTGAATGAATAGAAAATCAGGCCTGGTAGGTTTGTGAGGTAAATGACAGAGGGGGTGGGTTGGGTTGGGAGAAGGGGGACCCCCCTACCCCCCAGAGCACGCTGCTTGCTGCCCTGCAGAGCCCGTGTCACCTGGCGGTACTTCCACAGCTGGTTGCCCTTCATGCTGTGACAGTCGTAGAGGGTGACCGGGCTGGTGTGGGAGATGGCGTCAAAGCAGAACTTCTTGGTGTGCTGGGGGTCTCCGGGCCGGATGTCCTCTCTCCAGGTGAAGGTGAATACCTGTGCACACAGGAACACCACGCGCAAGAGAGCAAAGCCAGGAGGGTTTCCTTCCTTTCTTTTCAGAAAATTATGAAAGACTTTAAACACAGAGGTCCCCAAAGGGGTATACTGACCATCCTTCCTCTTCTGATCACCCTACTCTAATCTAACCCTCACCGACGTGAGGCCGGTCTTCTACTCCGGCCCTCACGGTTATCCCCAGCTCACACTACTGTGAAGGAGTCCTGGACCCGCTCTGCGTCAGGTATAAACACTCCAGGAAGTACCATCGTAACACGCACAAGTTACCCAAAGTCCTCGGTATCATCAGGTATCTGGAGGGCAAGTGATTGCCTTATCAATTTCTTTTTCCCATCTGAATCAGAATCTAAGCTGGGTCCGCACATTGCTTTTGGTTGATAAGCTTTTGTTTTTGTTGTTGTTGAAAATAATTTTAGCAGCTTTACTAAAGAGTAACTGGCAGATGATAAACTGCACGCGCTCCAAGTGTTCAACTGGATACTGGTGACGTATGTTTACAGCCGTGAAACCGTCATCACAATCAAGATAAGGACATATCTGTCACCTCAAAATATGTCCACGTCCTAGGTAACTACTGACCTGCTTCCCATTACTAGAAACTAGTTTGCAATTTCTTGAATTTTGTAATAAAGGAATCATCTGGACCAGCAGTTGGCGTAACAGTTACGTTGTTGGACTCCCCGTTATAGTTGACCGTGGTTCAAGTCCTCGACCCAGTGCTTGACTTCATGCTGGGCGCGTGTGCATGCATGCCCAAGATCCCGAGAGGAGAATGGAGGAGAAGGGATTGTGGCGTGGCCATTCCCCTGGGGGTGATTTCTCGCTTTCTGTTTCTCTGTCTCTCTCTGTCTTTCTGGCGAGTGCACATGCCCTATAGCAAAAACCTCCCCTTCCCCCCGCCCCCCCAAAAAATGAAGGAATCATCTGGGGACAGCAGCTGGTGTGGTGGTTAAGGCACTGGACTCCCACATGGCTGACTGTGGTTTGAGTCCCAGACCTGGCGGCTTGCTTTCTCTCTCTCTCTCTCTCTGTTAGTCTCTCCCTCTGGTGAGTGCATGTGCCCTGTATCAAATTTACAAATAATAACGATGATAAATAAAATGAAATAAATAATGAAAAAAAATAAAGGGATCACCTAGTATGTATTTATTTTCCGTTTTCTTTAATTGCCATGAGGCACTTGTCTCTCCAGAGACAGACAGAAAGACATGGAGAGACGGAGGGAGAAAGCACCCCACAATGGGCACGATTACAGCACGATACCTCTTCCTCCATTTCCCCTTCCTGTTGGGATTTGGGCATACACAGACATGTGCCTGGCATGTTTTTCAAGTGGCCAGTGCCAGGACTTGAACCATGTCCAGTCACGTGGAATGCAGCTCCCTTAGCCACTAGACTATGGGCCTGGTCCCGTAGGTGCTACCTCTTTCTGACTTCTTTCACTCAACGTAATTTTGCTACAGCAACAGTTATCGACAGTTCATTCCTCGCTATTACAGGGTGGTATTTCACTGCGTGGTGCTCCATTTTCCGTTCCGGGCAACTCAGTTGCTCCCACTTTCTGTATATTGCAAATAAGGTTGGTGTGAACCTTTGTGTATAAGTCTTTGTATGAACAAAGGCTTTTTCATTTTTTTCTCCTAGATAAATACCTGGGAGTGGCATTGCTGGTTTATTAAATCGATCAACGTTTAACTTTCTAAAAAACTGTCTTTCAAGGTGGCTGTACCACTTCCACCCTGCCGGCAGTGCCTAGTTTCATTCCACCCACAGATGTGCCACCCTGGGTAGGGGCAGTCTTTACCCTAAACCTGTGGTGGGGTATCGCTGTAGCTATAATGTCCCTTTCTCTAATAACTAATGAAGTTAAGCATATTAAATCTGTTTATCTGCCACTGAGAGACCTTCTTTGGTAAGGGATAAGTACAACTCTTTTGCCCATTACATTTTTTTAATTGTTGAGTTTTGAGGGTTTAGATATGAGTCCTTTATCAGATATTTGCTTTACAAATATTTTCTCCCAGTCTACAACTGTCTTTTTATTTTCTCAACAGTCTTCTTAATTTTTTTTTTTTTTAAGGTTTTTGCCATAGGGCATGCATGCTCGACAGAGAGAGAAAAAATGAGCAATCAACCCTCCCACTCCCCAGGGGAATGGCCATATTTGTAATCCCTTCTCCATTCTCCTCTTGGGATTTTGGGCACGCATGCACTAACACCTGGCATAATTTTCAAGCTGCTGGGTCTGAAACTTTAAGTGTGGTCAGCCAGGTGTGAATCCAGTGCCTTAACGACCACGCCACCTGCTGGCCCTCAACAATGCCTTTTAAAGAACAGAAGTTTTCATTTTGAAGACGCCTATCAGCTGCTTACACTCTGCATTATTTTGAGAACTCCTTTGAGAAGTTCCCCCCCCCCCCGTAGGGGGTCAGCCCTCTCCCACTCTCCTCCCTACCCTGCAGACCAGGCTGACCAGGTGCGGCTCCATGAGATGAGTGGGTAAGGACCAGGCTCAGGAAGGTTGATGCGTGAGAGCAAGGGCCCCAGGGCTTTTCTAGAACTCCTGAAAGGGGTGAGCCTCTGCGCTGGGGGCTGGAAGACTGAGCTGACAGTCACACCTGCCACCACACGGTGAGACTGGCTAAGAAGGAAGATGACAGAGAGAGATCCAGATGGCAGCATCTAGACTTTCCTGTGACATGAGCCAATAACTCCCTCTTCCTGTTGACGGCCACTTGGGCTGGGGTCTGTCATCCTTACAACCATACTGCAATGTAAGAGAGTCCCCTTTCTGAGGGAGTCCTCAGGAAGCGCCATTAACTCCTGCCGTGAGCTGATTTTCATCACTCGTCACTGAAGAAATCATGACCTCTCTCCTTCAGCTCTGACCACCTGGCCAGTCCCTGAGGAGTGGCCCTTACCTGCATGTTGTTCCAGGCAGCCTCCCCGCGGCCCCGGACACAGGCTTCCAGCCTCAGCGGGGACCCCAGGGCCCCATGCTTCGTGTCTGCACACAGCCCCGTGCCCACATTGCGAATCTGGGGAGGAAGACAGAGGCATGAGCCAGCAAGGCACTGCAAGGGGTATATGGGATCTTGCTGGAGGTGGGGCACTGAGGCAGAGGCAGGAGAGGGGTTAAGCTCCCCACTACCTCATGAAAGCACCCTGGGCTGCTGGGAGGGCCTGAGCTCTCAGGAAAGGGGCACTCAGCCCACTGCTGTGTTTAGGGACTCACAGTTATGAGGTAGTGGTGTGGGGCAAACTGAAGGCAAGCCCTGCTTGCCTGAGCTCCACTGCCTGAGAATTTGATCCTATAGGCCCAGGAATCTAGTTTTACCCCCATTCCAGATGACCCAGGGGCAGGTTGTTGAGGGACCATGCCTGGAAAACAGCTAGAAAAGGACAGGAAGTCTCTGCTGCAGACCTTGGGCTCTCTCTGCTCTTGAGGGCATCTGAACAGCAAGAGGTAGACCCTTCCCCACTCAAAGACAAAGAACGATAGTGCTCTCAACCCTTCGGCCGCTAAGGCTAGGCAGTGTGGTGTGGTGAGGTGTGGTGCAAGGAGCCCTGGCTGCAGCCTGCAGCCTAGCCAACAGGCACTGATGGCACTCCCTGTGGCGGGCCACTGTGCTAGTGCAGTGTCCCGTCATTTCCAACCTCACAGGTACCACTCCTGTTTGGCCCGAGAGGTGGGTGTGTGGCAGTCGTGAGCAGGTGCAGCTCTGGGTTCATGTTGCAGGGAGTCTCGACCCCAGCTGTGTGTTTTGAATCTATCCCTGTGTCTTCCCAGGGCCACTCCTTGCCAGTGACAGAGGCAGGGGTACTAGGGCAGGCCTGTTCTGGGAGACGCTGGGCTCCTCTGACCACCCAGAGGACCCTGCACTGACCTGGGGCCACAGTCCAGGTCTCCTCCTACTCCACCCCTCCTTCCTCCCTCTCCCCTTCGCCGAGGTCAGCCCCGTCTCCCTGGGTCGCTTTTCTCCTCGCAGGTGTTTCACTGTGACTCTCGGGCACATCTATTCCTACTGTGGCATCTGCTTCTCAGAGGACCTGAACTAACACAGAAGCGAAAGAAGCTCGCGAAGAACTGAGAGCGTCACGACTGGAGTCAACCCAACACCTTTTCTAGAGTCCTGGTGGTGGGGCTGTCCAGGCGGCTTATCAGGTGAGGCCTCTGGGTCTGGACGAGTCATACCTGGAGTCCCTGCCGGCCCAACATGCCTCTCTCCCTCCACAGGTAACAACACTCGGCTTTTCCACGGGGCCGTGCTTCCGCACCCACCTGTGGCCAGCCAGAGTGCCCACCCTGCCCTTGTTTTCTCACATCCCCTCTTGACCACAGTGATGGGGAGAGGCTCTGAGTGATTCTTACACCTTTGCTAACTCTCCGGGGAAGGACTGGCTAAGCCGAGGGTTTGCCAGCCTGAAGCTTCTGGAAGCCACCTCGCTACCTTCAGTGTGATAACACAAAAGAAAGCCGAGTTATGCAGAAGAGAAAGAGACAGACTCATTTAAGGCCTACGATCCAGGCTGGCTGAAGCATGGCTACTCCAATGTGAATCAATAAATTCTCCTTTTTACCTTAAACTGGGCTGAAAGAGACCCAACTCCTGGGCTTCCCTCTCCAAGCCCCAACACACCCCTCTACAAACGAGCAGGCACTGGGCTGAGAGACCCAGGATCCCATGACGGGATGCCTGTCTGCCTGGTGGGACTGGCCCGCCTGCTCCAACAGCTTCACGGCTGCAGCAAGTCACCTGGAGCCCCTGGTCTATGCCTGGCTTAGAGCTCTGCTGTAGTTGCCATTCCGGAATTTTTTTTTAAAGAGAGATTTTTGCTATAAGGAACATGTGCTCGCTGGAGAAACAGAGGCAGAAAGCAAGAAATCACCTTCCCGGGGGGATGGCCATGTGCAATCCCTTTTCCTCTGTTCTCTCAGGATCTTAGACATGCATGCACACACACCCAGCATGCGTTTTAAGTTGCTGGGTCTGGGACTTGAACTGTGGTCAACTACATGGGATTCCAGCAATGTAACTGCTATGTGCCATTTGCTGTTCTTTCTGGAATTCTTAATAGTCTCATCTTTTTTTTTTTTTTTTTTTAATGAGAAGTTTTTGCTATAGGTAGGGCATGTGCACTCACCAGAAGACAGAGAGACAGAAAGAGAGAAATCACTCCCCAGGGGAGATGGCTACGTCACAATCCCTTCTCCATTCTCCTCTGGGGATCTTGGGCACGCATGCACATACACTGGGCGTGAGTTTTAAGCCATCAGGTCTGGGACTTAAATTGCAGTCGACTACATGGGAGTCCAGCGACATAGCCATTACGCCAACTGCTGGTCCCAGTAGTCTCGTCTTTGCACTGTGTTTTGCAAGTGGAGTGTGACAGGACAAGGGCGCGAGCATAGGAGCTGAGGAGTGTCTGCGGCTCTGTCCTGTGCTGTCTGCACGTGGCCTTCCCTGCCCTGCAGCACAGAACCCAGCACCCACAATACCTGGGAGCTCAGCAAGACTCAAAGTGGGTGCTATGCCTGCGACTGAGTAAGTGAGGTGCTGGCAGGTCCCCGAGGCCAGGTCTCCTCTTCCAACCAGGTCGCGAGTGGGAGGTGCAGAGAAGGGCAATGCCAGTCTCAGAAACAAGACTGACCAGGAGCCACCAGGTCCTTCCTTCCTGGCTGCACTGCCTCAGGTTCCCCGCTGTTTATGCAGGGAAGGGAGGGGAGGGAAGCCGCAGTTCCTTCCCCTGTCAGCCTTATTGGTAAACTGCTGGCAGAAATGAGCATCTTCAAGAGGGGAAATAAAAACAGCCAGGCCGCTGCAGCACTTCCCTCGCTCAGGAGAGTGCGAAGTCTGGAGCCTGCACTTAATTTGCATTTCAAACCCGCACAGCATAACAACAGGAAAGGTCAAATTCACATGCATATTTTATTTTATTTATTTATTTTTTTAGGTTTTTGCCATAGGTGAATGTGCTTGCCAGAGAGAGGAAGAGAAAGAAAGTGAGAAAGCAATCCTCAGGGGAGAAGACTATGCCATATCCCTTGTCCTGCATTCTGTTCCACGCACATGCACCCGGCATGAGTTTCTACTTTAAGTTTATTTATTATTATTTTCCAATTTGACCAGAGACAGACAGAGAGAGGGAAAGTGAGAAAGGAAGCCACCAGGTCCAGGACTTGAACCATGGTCGGCCATGTGGGATCCACCACCTTAACCACCATGCCACCTGCTGGCCCTTCATGGTAATAGTTTAAAGTTTTATTTTTCCTATACTCAGACTCCTAAATAGCAAAACTAAACCAAACCAAAACTCCAAAAAACTAAAACACCATGACAAGGCTAGTGAGAGCAGGAAGGAAAGGAGACAGTTGGTCCCTGTTTACACCCCCCACTGCGCTTTCTTCCTGTCTTGTAAACAAGGGTGGGAGTCAGCATTCTGCCCGGGGCCCCACAGACACACTCACCTCCCCCCACGCTGCGGCCGGGGGCTCCACCGGCGGGTAGAATTTGGGCAGATCCCAGGCAATCTTGGTCATGAACCACTTGAAACTCTTACAGTTGAGGGAGCTGCGGAGCTTCTTCTGGGCTGCCACGTCGCCCGCAGAGAGGTGGCGGTACTCTGGCCGGCGCTGGTAGATGTACTCTGCGTACTCGTCCATCCACACTTCCGCCACTCGCTTAAGGTTCTGGGGGTAAAAGAAGAGTGTAAGGGGTGAGGCCAGGGGGTGGGTGCAAAGGGTGCTGGCAAGCTGAGGTCAGGTTTTCTGTTTCCTTTTTGTAAAAAAAGATTTGTTTTATTTAAATTTACTTATTTATTTATTTTTAATTTGACCAGAGAGGGACAGAGAGAGAGAGAAAGAGAGAGAGAGAGAGAGAGAGAGAGAAAGCCGCCAGGTCTGGGACTCAAACTGTAGTCGGCCATGTGGGAATCTAATGCCCTTAACCGTCACGCCACCTGCCGGCCCCTAAGCTTTCTTGTCTTGCATTGCACCAGAGATCCTCACCCCACCATGAATTCAGGCCTTCTGTACTTGGGTTATTTGTGTATATTTCCAGGACTCGACAACTGACAGTAGAAAAACAGATGGCTGCTGCTGCATCTGCCCTTCTCCCATCCCCTCTCTTTAAAGAATTATTTACTTAATTTTATTATTATTTTAAAAATTCGCTATAGGGTGCATGTGCTCAAGAGACAGAGAGAGAGAGAGAGAGAGAGAAAGGAAAAGTGAGAAAGCAAGCTATCAGGCCTGGGACTCAAACCGCGGTCAGCCAGCTAGATGGGAGTCCAGTGCCTCAACCACCACACTGCCTGCTGGCCCCATCATCCCCTCTTGTTCTTGCAATAGTCACCCACCAGGTTCCATTGGGGGCCACCCACTCATCTCACTGTCAGCTCATGTGGCTGAAGAAAAGCATGTGACCCCACCTGGAAAGAGTAGATATTCCTGGCCCCCGGGATTGGTCCCTAGTGAGCACATGACCTGAGCCAAGCAGCAGAACCAACACAGGCACTGGCCCTGGAGTTCTGCTGGGATAGTGGGAAGAACGGCTTGTTTCTGCAGAGAGAGCTGCTGGGCCCAAAGGTCACAAGAGGAAAACCTATCTACGGAGGAAATGAACCCCCAGAAATTGCAGTCACGTGAGCTACTAAGTCCCCGTTTTGCTTAAGCCAGTTTGAGTTGACTTTCTGTCATTTTCAACTAAAGGAGTTCTGACAGAGTCACACGGTGAAAACAAATTCTCATTTGCAACCAAAAGCTATAAATTCCATCAACAGCTGGAATTTCTAATAATCTCTTGAGGTGCGAAGGTTGCTGCTGCTTTTTTGAATTATGAAGCACAAAGATAACAATAAAGATAAGCACATTATTGACAGCTCGTGGCAGCAGCGGAGGAAATACCCCGTGCACGAGCAGACTTGGGGTAGAGGAAGAGGGAATTCTTACGTGTAAATGCGATGGCCATTCCTTACTCCATCTGCAGTGGAGACGCCACCGACAAGAACTGACAGCTGATCCCAGAGAGCACACCTTCAGGGTTCAGGGGACATTTCCTGCTCCCAAACATCTTCCTTTAATTCCTGCCTGTTGCCAGAAAGTCCACCACCCCAATATTTACCTCTCAGGCTTCACCCCTGGCATAAGCTTTTCTCCCTATTGCAATCCCAACTTTCCTCTGAGGGGTAAAGGAGAGGTCACCTGTTAGGTAGTTACCAGTCATTCACAGCAAAGTGTGAAGGGCTGCTCTGGGAGCAGAGGGTAAGGCAGGGCCCAGATGTGTCTGCGTTTTCTGTAAAGAGCCAGATAGTAAATATTTAGGCTCTGTAGACCCTATGGTCCCGACTCCGAAGTAGCTCTAAAGCACCCAGGGACACCAAGTACACTGCGAGGCTGTGTTCCAACAAAGCTTATGAACACTAAAGTTTGATATTCATGTGTCACAAATTCTTCTTTTGATTTCCACCTCCCAGAAGTGTAAAAACCATTCTCAGCTCACGGGCCATGCAAAATGCCAAACTCAGGAGTTGGCAAAGGGGGAAGGAAGCCAGCAGGAGGGGGGCCTCACCTGAGACAAAATTCACCAGTCTCCCCAATTTGGCTGGCACTGAGTTTGGGACCAGGCAATTCCCGAATTTCCGTGCGGCTATCTAGCCCTTTGGGAGTGCTGAAGAGTCCACAAAATGCTTTAGAAACAGTGCTGTCCCTGCCAGGTCCCCACACAGCAAGGGCTGTGCTTAATTTGAAACTGTGCCCAGAGGAAGCTGAAGGCCTGACAGAGCCTGTCTGTATATTTTTAAATGTTTATTTATTTATTTTTGCTATAGGGCACATGTGCTCGTTGGAGAGAGAGAGATATAGAGAGAGAGGGAGGGAGAGAAATCACCCCTTGGGGGGATGGGTATACTGCAATCCCTTCTCTTCTACTCTTGCCTCCAGATTTTGGGCATGCATACACATGCACCTGGTGTATTTCTCAAGATGCCAGATCTGGGACTTGAACCATGCTATTGGCTATGTGGGATCCCGTGGCCCAAACTTCACACCACTTGCTGGCCCTGGAGCCCGTCTAGACGAACACTCAAAAACACAGTACTTCCTCCCCTTTTTCCAGGCTGTCCACCACGTCCTTCAGCTCGCTGACCAGCTCGGGCTGCGGAGGCCATGAGGACCCACGGTAGCTCCACTCCAACAGGAAGCAGGCCCGGCTAGTCTGCCCCTGGAAAGCTGCCAGCACTCAACAGCGTTATTATAAAGGATCGCAGAACACAGTATTTTAGCTCTAATCCTAATTACTATTTTAATTGATACGGCCTTCTTGTATTTTCCAGACGTGGCTTAGACAGCTATTTCTCCCAGATCTTAACCTTCCATTCCGTGGACTGATCCAAAGGGAAGGACTTTACATGCCTTTCCCTTACATCTCATAAAAAGGACCCTGGGATTTTCGTGGGCTTTGTGTTCTCACCCCCCTGCTCTCAGCTCCTTCCTGGTTCCCACCTGCACTTCTCACGCTTGGATTACAGAGAGCTGCCTAGACCCTTGGAGAGAGCCTCACCAAGTCTGAGTGGGTTTCTGTTGCCGCTTTCCCCAGAGGCAGAGACAAGAGAGACCTTTATAATTTTAGTCAACAAAATAAGACTAGCTCGGGGACCAGCAGGTGGCGTGGTGGTTAAGGGTGCTGGAGTCCCACATGGCCAACCAAGGTTTGATTCCCAGACCTGGAGGCTTGCTTTCTCACTTTCCCTCTCTCTCTCTCTCTCATTCTGTCCCTCTCTGGTCAAATGAAAATAAATAAATAAATAATTAAAAAAAAAATAAGACTAGCTCCTTGTCTTTTCTTCCTTTGGGGAAAAGTTTTGCTCTAAGGCACATGTGCTTGTTGGAGACACACACACACAGAGAGAGAGAGAGAGAGAGAGAGAGAGAGAGAGAGAGAGAGAAAGTGAGAAATCATGCCCCAAGGAGAATGGCCAAGCCACACACCACTTTTCTTCCATTCTCCTCTCAGGATTTCGGGGACACACGCACACGCGCACGGTGCGAGTTTCCAGGTCCAGGACTTGAACCGTGGTAAGCTATGTGGGAGTCCGGTGCCTTCACCACTACACTACTGCTGGCCCTGATAGTTCATCCTTCTTGAACTGCCACCTCCTCGCTGTGTCTGGGTGTTTGTCCTTCCGGCATCTGCACACTTCCCTCTTCATATGCGCCTCCTAGGGCTCCTCTCAAAGCTACCAAGATGGTGTTCTGGGAGCTGATGCTACAGAAGGCTTAGGGTTGATGAAAACACTGAGCAAATATATAAAATACGATCCGCAACGAATAAGGGTAGCTACTGCAATAAAAGGCCATGCTCGACCGAGGCATCCTTCTGGTCCTGCAAACCTACACATAAGCAGAGCCGGCAGATCACAGGGCTCTAGGGAGCTCTTTGAAGGAGAAGCTTTGAAGGAGGCATGGGGCATCTCCAGACTGTTAACTGGTTTCAAGTCAAACTCAGGATCCTGATTCGGTCCACGCAGTGAAAAACATCCCAGTGTCCAAACACGGACTTGAGATAAGATACTGAAATAAACTTTCCAGTTGTGACTGGTACATTGATGCTGACCCTAAGAATACAGAACTATAGCAGTTACGATGAAGGAACCCTGGCTCTGTGCCAGCTTCCTGTCAGACCTAAATGGGTTTGAATTCTGGTACTAGTTACTTAACATCTCTGTAACTCACCTTCCTCATTTCTAAACTAGGTGTTAAAAATGTGGGGAAAACGGGCCAGTCCTGTGGTTTCTGGTTAAAAGAGCGGGATTCCACATGGCGGATTGCTGTTTGAATCTGGGCCCTGGTGGCTTGAAAACACACCAGGTGTGTGTGCAGGTGTGCCCAAAGTCCTGCCAGGATGGGGACGCGGAGAATGGACTGTGGTGTGACCATGTCATATGGGGAGGGGTTGCTTTTTTCCTTCCCTCCCTTTCTGGCCGGCACATGTACCTGCTGGCAATTAAAAAAAGTGAGAATTACGTGAGATAGCATGTAAGACGCTAAGCATGAGGCCTGGCTGAAGGAGGATCTGTGTTACTGTAGTTAATCGGAGCGGCTGAATTCATCTGCAGTTCAGAAACAGGAGCTGCGCCTTATAAATGACAGCGTTAGGGTTGGTGCTGCCCAAGGAAAGGTTTGAGTGTCCCCCTGTTTCTTTGTAGCTGCGGGTGTGGCAGTGCCGGGCTTACAGGGAGCTCTTTCCTGCCTGGCACCTTTCTGAGGGCTCGTCCCTGGTGTTTCTGAAGACGTGTGACTTCTGGCTCGCCAGGCTGAATGCAGAGCCCAGCCTTCGGGTGGGAAGGGCCGTTCAGAGCGCTGACGGCCAGCGAGGCTGTCGTTAAAAGTTTCTACCACGAGAGGGCACTGCGGGCTCTCTTTCCAAAAAAACTCTCTTTCCCCCCCCGCCGGCTCAAGGCAGCGGCGCTTCCCGGAGCTCAGCTCCCACCCACACCGGGAGCCCGCCAGCAGACGCCAAGCCTCTCTGAGCCTCTGGGGCTTCCTTGTAGGTCACAGGATAAGAGGGCTTCCAGGACCCAGAGGCCACAATCCTGCACGTCAGAACTGTCAGGTGACTAGGGAGGAGGACGTGGAAGGAGGCGGTGTGGGCTGATGCCCAACAGACTCCCTAGGAGGTGGGTTGGGGTTTGGGGGGATCACTGACTAGGGGAGGGAGGGAATGAGGCTCCCCGGAGGCAAGGCTGTGCTGTGACCTTTACTGCTTCTCCCAAACCTCCCTTTACCCTCTGGGGACCCTCCCTGCTCTTCTTTTATCTTTCTGTGGTCACCTTGATTTACTATTATTTCAAAATGTTTAATATAACAAAACCAAAAATCTCTGGCCAAACAGATTTCCATTTGTGGCCGGTGACAATTTAATTCAAGCAATGATTGATACAAACGATTTTATGGCAGTGAAACAGTCTGACACAGTTTTTGCCCATGCAGGTGGGGGGAGGGGAGAAGAGGAAGGTGCTGACATTTTAACTCCCACCTCCAGGAACTTTTAAATATCTTTTTTTTTTTCTTTTTTTTGAGAAGTTTTTGCTATAGGGCGTGTCTGCTTGTCAGAAAGACACAGAGACAGAAAGCGAGAAATCACCCCCTAGGGGGAATGGCCACACCTCAATCCCTTCTCCTCCATTCTCCTCTCGGGACCTTGGGCACGCATGCACACGTGCCCGGCGTGAATTTAAGCCACTGTGTCCGGGACTCGAACTGTGATCGACTACATGGGAGTCCAGCAACATAGCCATTACGCCAACCGCTGGTCCCAGTAACTTTAAATACCTTGTCTCAGGCTTTCCCAACGCACCAGGCACCCTGTATCAGTATGTGCCCGGCATTTTCATGAAGTCACTCCTCCCTGTACCTACTTTGGCTTTATCCTAAGTCTATGAAATCACAAATGTGCTACGCTAATCCACATTCATTTCTAATCCACATTAATTTAAACACGCGGAAATAAAAATGTTCCCATTTCTGCCTGCTAAGATCATCGCCTCTGTCATGCTTCAGGAAGCCGCACTGTCTCCTTCACTCACTGGGCAATGCTCCCTGTGGGAAAGAGCTCCCTTTAACAAGGAAACAGGGTCAGAGCAGGTAAGTAACCCTCCCACAGTCCCACAGCCAAGATGGGCTCAAGTGGGGCTTTAAGGAAGTTCTTTTACATGGGACTCCACCTGGAGAATGGGGGTACACCCTCACACGTAGGGGTCACACCCTGGGCCCCAGCGAGCCTTCGTGGGGCTGTCAGGCCTCGGTCCCCTCCTCCCCGGGACGGAAGTGCCAGCTTACCCGGGCCAGGCTGACTCCGGCTGGGACCTTGTAGGGCACATACTTCCTGTAGATGTGGCCCACCCTGGAGCAGGGGATGTCCTCCATGCGGCCTCCACACATCCACACCTGCAGGGCGAGGAGGGAGAGGCTGACGTTTCTCCAAGTCACCATCCCCACAGAGGACGGTGTTCCTCTGTGCACTCAGCAATCACAGCCCGATGGCTCCTGACTCCGTCACAGAACTAACTACGTGGGAAACACAGAGACGGCGGCAGTGAGAACCTGCCAGCGCCCTCCGAGAGCTCCACACGCACGCGGTATTTAAGCCTCACTGGAAAATCGGTCAAGTGGATGGAACGTTGCTCCATTTTACAGGGGCTGAAACTGAGGCTCAGAGACTTGAAGAGAACTGTCAAAGGCCACCCTTAGTGAAGGGTGGAGTCAGAACTGACACCAGAGCCTGAGCTCCACACAGCCATGGCCCCTGGCAGAGTGGTGTTGTCAATCTGAAGGTGCATCGGGGATTCTGGAAAGACTATGGTGGTGGCATGGTGACCATATGTCTGCCATGGGAATGGGAGGGGACGAGGTGGCACACAGGCTGTGTTTACTGACGGGTCTCAGTTCCGGAGTTCTCTCCTAAGTCTTCACTGGGTTCCTCTGAGGAGTTCTGTCAGCCCCGGGCCCCACCTCCTCTGCAGTCTGGCTTGCTAAGCCACGCTGCGGGGTTCTGCTGCAGAGTGGGAGCTGATGTCCTCCCTGGTGCCTGTCCCTGGCAGGAATGTCTAGTGTCACAAAGAGCTCCTGAGTATTTGCACGCTGGTCAGACAACAATTTGGGAATTTGTTTTTTGAGTGTTTTTTTTTTTTTTTTTTTTGCTATAGGGTACGTGCACTTGCTGGAGAGGCAAAGAGACAGAGAGAGATCAAGTGAGAAATCACCCTCCAAGGGGATGGCCATGCTGCAATCCCTTCTCCTCCATTCTTCTTTCAAGATTTTGGGCTTGCATGCACATGTGCCTGGCATGATTTTCAAGCCATCGCGTCTGGGACTTGAACCACGGGTAGCCATGTGGGAGTCCAGCGCCTTAACTACTATGTGTCTGCTAGACTACAATTTGGGAATTTGGAACAAGTACAGTCAATGTTGGCTTATACCCACTGTTGGCACCAGCCTAAACAGACTCTTCAGCAGGCATGGGTTCAAATCCTAGCTCGGGCACCCACAGCTTTCCAACTTTGATCAAGGTCCTGAGCCTCTTTCAGACGGTTTCCTCCTCTGGACTAGGTGAGGCTGGGCAGGGTGAGAGATTGCATGGGGAGTGCTTAGCACAGGGCTTGGCACACGTGCAGTCAGGCAGGACAGTATGATGACTGAGCCGTACGTCTGACCGTGGAGTCCTGCCACAGGCCACACATTGCTGGGGACACATCACAGGACTAGGTCAGCCCAAGCCCCAGCTCTCAGGGAAGGGGAGAGTGGTGACCAGCCTCCAGGACGGCCCTCAATGACCCTTGGTTCCTGGTTTTTGTGCCCCTAAGTAGTTGCCTAGAGGAATGACCCGTGCAACCACTGTGACATTGCAGGAAGGCCAGTCATCGGGACATGCGGCTTCCGCCTCTCTCTGGGATCCCTCTTGTCTGAGGACACATAGCACCAGGGAGAGGTCCTGTGGGGAGAGCTCAGGGCTCCTGCTGACCGCACCGACTTCCAAGCCAGGTCTGCAGAGAGGGAGGGAGCCCTGGCACACGTCCTGACCAGAACCTTCTGACAGACCCAAGCCAGAACTGTCGAATTTGCAAAGCGAGCAGTCAGACAGACCCACTGTCTGCAGGTACGGCGTGCTACTTAAACCTCACCAGCCAGGGAAGCCATCTCACTTGGGAGGGGATACTTGAGGGGGCACTTAAATGGTGAGAGGGGAAAGAGC